TGAATGAACATGGCTGAGCTTTCTCTGTTGCAGGATGTTGAGTTCTTTGGGTATAGGTGGATCTATTTTTAGCTTTTGGAGTATTCATACTGATTGTCATAGGGACTGCATCAGTCTAGTGCCCGAAACAGTGAATGAGGGTTCAACTTGCTTATAGCCTTATCATCACTTGCCAGTTGTTTTCTTGACATTATCATTCTAACTAGAGTAAGACAAAATCTCTAAGGAATTTTAACTCGAGTTTCCCTGGATGCCAAGGATGTTGACCACATTAAAACAAATATCATAACAATTTTTATTCCTTATTTTGAGAATTTACCCCCATGTCAGTAGCGTGTGTGCATACATGTACACACACACACACACACACACACACACACACAGAGAGAGAGAGAGAGAGAGAGAGAGAGAGAGAGAGAGAGAGAGAGAGAGAGAGAGAGAGAGAGAGAGAGAGAGAGAGCACTTTAACCGAACTATTTACTTTCCTAATTCTTAGTGTTTTGAATTCTTTATATATTCTGGATACTAGTTCTCTATTGGATGTATATCTGGCAAAGATTATCTTCTACTCTATGTATTTCTGTTTCACTGAATAGATTCTTTCCTTCACTGTTTGATGTCCCAGTTGTCAAATGCTGGCTTTATTTCCTGAGTGAATTCAACCCTATTCATAAAGTTACTTTCCACTCCTATATTTTGCAGGAAAATTTGCCCGTGTTTTCTTCTATAAGTGTCAGTGTTTGAAATTTTACTTTGAAATTTTTGATTCATTTGTAATTAACTTTTGTGTGGGATGATACATATGGATCTATTTTTATTCTTCTGCATGTGGATATCCAGTTTTCCCAGTAGCATTTGTTGAAGATGCTGTTTTTCCTCCAGTATATATTTTTTATCCTCTTTTTTCAAATACCAGATGGCTGAAATTACATGCAATCATATTTGGGTCTTATATTTTGTTCCATTGATCTATATGCCTAAGGCATCCTATTTTGTTACTATTGCTCTATAATATAGTTTGATATCTGGTCTATATCTATATAATAGAGCTTGAAGTCAGGGATAGTGATGCCTCTGGAAGTTCCTTTATTGTACATGTTTGTTTTGGCTATCCTGGGTCTTTTGTTTTTCCATATAAAGTTGATTATTGTTCTTTCAAGGTCTGTGAAGAATTGTGCCAGTATTTTGATGGTGATTGCATTGAATCAGTAGATTGCTTTTGGTAAGATTGCCAGTTTTACTATGTTGATCCTACCTATCCAAGAGAATGGGAGATCTTTCCATTTTCTGTTATCGTCTTTCTTTCTTTAAAGACTCAAAATTCTCGATATACAGGTCTTTCACTTGTTTGGCTAGCGTTACCCCAAGATATTTTATGTTGTTTATGGCTATTGTAAATGGTGATGTGTCTCTGATTTATTTCTCAGCCCATTCATCTTCTTTATATAGTAGGGTTACTGATTTTTTAAGTTAATCTTGTATTCTGTCACTTTGCTGAAGGTGTTTATTAGTTGTAGGAGTTCCCTGGTAGAATTCTTCAGGTCAATTATGTAAACTATCATATCATCTGCAAATAGTGAAAGTTTGACTTCTTCCTTTCCAATTTGTATCCCCTTTATCTCCTTTTGTTGTCTTATTGCTCTAGTTACAACTTCAAGTACAATATTGAAGAGACATGGAGAGAGTGGACATCCTTGTCTTGTTCCTGATTTTAGAGGAATCTCATTGAGTTTATGTCCATTTAGTTTGATGTTGGCCGTTGGTTTACTGTATATTGCTTTTATTATGTTCAGGTATGTTCCTGTTATCCCTGATCTCTCCAGGACCTTTATCATGAAGGGATATTGGATTTGTCAAAGGCTTTTTCAGCATCTAGTGAGATGATCATGTGGCTTTTCTTTTGTGGTTTGTTTATATGGTGGATTCATTGATAGATTTTTGTATGTTGAACTATCTCTGCATTCCTGGGATGAAACTTACTTGATCATGGTGGATGATTTCTTTTGATGTGTTCTTGGTTCGATTGGCCTATATTTTATTGAGTATTTTTGCATCAATGTTCACGAATGATATTGGTCTGTAGTTCTCTGTCTTTTTTTTCCATACATCATTTAGTCAATTTAATAAAGAATGAAATCACTGCTGATGTGGTCCCAGAGTTGTATGATGCAACAAAAATTGAAATAATGATAAATATGTGGGCAAATATAAATACTGTTTATATAAATTAAAATTAAACTCTGCTTGATTTAAAAGACAATTTAATTGAATGGCATATTTACATAATACTAAGGAAATTAAAATATTTGAAGGCTTGCATTGTACCAGAACTAGAAAGAATATTTATAGTAGATTCTAAGAAATCAAAGATTAGTTTTTGTAATGAAAAGGTAAACTGCAGGGTAAGAAAATGTATTCACAGCATTTTCACCACTCTACTTGGAGGAATGAACCTGGGAGAGTGGAGCCTAAAAATTAGGGGGAGTAAAGTCTCATACAATAGCCACTTTATTCAGGGTATCAGACAATTTATAGTCTGAGAACATTTTGAGAGTTAAGCAAGACCATGTAAGCAGAGTCCACTTGAGTTCAAGTTGTATACAGTCACAAGAACAAGGTTGCATGAGTTTAGGCTGTATACATTATGGTGGACAACTTGTGCTCGTAAACATCTTTCTGAACAATAACGGCTAAGGCAATGGGTAAGCTAAAGTAAGCTGACCTCTATTCACTATACCTGGAGAGGGGCACAAAAGCACATTCCAAGAATGAATCCACATTATGGAGGAACAAAGGTTATAAGACTCTTGTTTACTGGACGTTTTCTCACAAGCTCTCAGATACCTCCTGACACAGCTTCATTTTGTTAATCCCACTGGGCAAGAATAAGATCACCACCCCAATTTTTGAGCTAAATTTGAAGCAAACTTGATTAAATACCAATTAGGATGATGGACACTGGCCAGATCCATACCCAGAATTACCAGAGAATGGCAGCAAATTACATTAGCCTGGTGCTTATAAAGGCAAAATACACAAGGCTACACACTTCCTGCCTTTGTACAATCAGTGGCAAGCTTATATCCTAATGTACTTCCTGCCTATGTACCTCCTGCCTACATGCAAGTAGTTCTCTGTCTTAGTTGTGTCTTTTTATGAGTTGGGTACTGTAATGTGTATTCTTTCCCACCAGCTGCCTGGGTTTTGCTGCTGTGTCTGGCCCCAAATAACACTCGAGACACTATATTAATTATGAAGCTGTATGGCCATTTGCTATGGTTTCATAATGGCTGGCTCTGACTTAATTATTAACCCATAATTACTTATATATATTTTTATAAGGTCATATCTTACAAAGAACTCCAGACTTGTGCCCTCTCCTCCTGGGATCACATGGCGACTCCTACTCTTGACTACATTTCCCAGAATCCTCCTCAACTCCTAGTCTCATCTATCTTGCTTCCTTATTGGCCATCAGTGCTTTATTGATCAGCCAATAAGACAACATATACACAGAAGAACTTCCCTCATTAGGGTACCAAGGTAACTGTAACCTGGTAAAAAGAGTTTGGCAAAGAACCTTCTGCTTCTATTGTGTGGTACACTTTGAGGAGTATTGGTATTAGCATTTCTTTGAATTTCTGGTAGAATTCTGCACTGAAGCCATCTAACCCTGGGCTTTTTTTTGATTGGGAGACTTTTGATGATTGCATCTATTTCATTAGGGGTTATAGGTCTGCTTCAATTGCTTATCTGTTCTTGATTTAATTTTGGTAAGTGATCTCTATCCAGAAATTTGTCCATTTCCTTTAAATTTTCAAATTTTAGGGAGTACATGTTTTCAACATATGACCTGAAGATTCTCTGAATTTCCTCAGTGTCTATTGTTATGCCAATGGTATCCCTATGGAGGGATAATATTGCAGCCCAGATACAGGAAGGCGGGCCTGGGCCCAAAATTATGTGACAGACTTTGATGATCCCCAGTGGAGGGCCTCACTATTTCTGGGGGTGTATGGGGGGTTGGTTGGGGGGTCAGTGGGGAGCATGGGAGGATGGGAGGGTGAGGGAATGGGGGTTAATATGTAAATAAGAGTGCTTCTAAAATAAAAAAAGAATTTAAAAAGATGATGTATGTTCATCCTGCTTCCTGTTTTACATCTTGTTTACTCTGTTAAAATCTTTTCTAAGTTAATTTTTGGTCAAATATCTTAATACTGTACATAACCAACTTGCACTTGCTTTTGAATATTCTCACCACAGAGATGACAGAAACACATTCTTTATACTCTGCTTTCACCAAATGATAAAATGTGAAGTTACTAATAGCTTGTTTATTTTCATGAAAGGTGTTGAAGGGTTTCCTCTATTCTCCAAAGGTAGAAGTCAATGAGAAATAATAGTCTCTTAAATATATTATTGTTATATCAGTAATGGGGTGAAGGGTGAGTATGATAAAATACACTGTAATAAACTGGAAATTATAAGAGATTTAATAAAATAAAGTAAAAAATGAATTATGAAATAGTCACCAGTAGGGGTGAATATTCAACAAATGGGTTTTTATGTGTATGAGTGTGTACATACATATGTTTTCACAAAAAACTGCTTTTTTTACAATAAATATCTAATATTAGAAATGGCTTTTATCATGGGAAGTCCAACTTGGTGCATTACAATCTTTCCAGAGATGTTTACCATTTGCATCATTACATATTGAACACATCTCACTGCAATGGTCATACTGCTGCTTTCCCTTCTGCTCTCTCCTTACTTCTGAGAGGTACAGAATGCCCAGAAATTGGCAGAATCTTCTTATCAGTAACATTATTCTTCTCAGAGTATTGGAAAGAAGAAGGATTGAAAACTTCCTGGCACACTTAGAAAATGCCTGGGACAGGTTAGGTAACAGTCACAGTCATGTGCTCTGGGATTTCATCTTTCCATAGAAGTCAATGAGTGAATGCTCCATTGACTCCCAGAGGAAGTGAAACAATACACTAAACCAGCAACAACAGCCCAAAGTTATTTTTCAGTACTACTTTCTTTCTCACGATCTTTCTAAAAGCATTCTTCATGTCCTTATTCCTGAGGCTGAATATGATGGGGCTGAGGAAAGGGGTAATAACGGTATAAGGAACTGCTATGAGCGTGTCATCTCCTCCGGAGGCTTCTGGCTTCAGATAAGCAATGGATGCAAAACCGAAGTGGATGATGACCACAGTGAGGTGTGAGGCACAGGTGGAAAATGCCTTTTGCTTACCCTCAGCTGAAGGGATCTTGAGGACAGAAGAAAGGATGAACACATAAGTCAAGGAGATGAGCAAGAATGTACCCACTAAACCTACCATTGACATAAGCGTTACAATGACTTCTGTGAGGCCACTGTCTATGCAGGACAGTCTCACAACTGCCCTCATGTTGCAGAAGAAATGTCTGATGAGGTTGGGTATACAGAAAGACACTCTAAATGTTAGTGCAATTTGTATAAAAGAAACCACGAAGCCTCCAGCCCAAGCAGAGGCCACAAGTTGTCCACATGCAACATTGGTCATAAGAAGAGGGTATCTGAGTGGGTTGCAGATGGCCAGGAAGCGGTCATACCCCATCAAGGTGAGAATGATGCAGTTTGTTCCACCAAGGCCCAGGAAGAAGCACATCTGCAGGCCACAGCCTGCGACTGAAATGCGTCTGTCCTGGTTCAGCAGATCCACCAGCATCTTGGGGATGATTGTCAGGGTGTAGCAGGTCTCAGAGAAGGAGAGTGCACTGAGGAAGAGGTACATAGGGGTGTGGAGAGATCTGTCCACATATGTCAATCCCATGATGGTGAGGTTGCCTGCAAGAGTGAGAATATAGAGGCAAAAGAAGACCCCAAAGAGGAAGGTCTGTACATGTGGGTAAGCAGAGAAGCCTATGAGAATGAATTCTTTCAGGATTGTTTGGTTGATCTCCATTGCTTCTGTTCCTGAAATGTAAAATCAAAGAACAGACAAAACTTCAGTCCTCCTTATTCTTTAATATTTTCAAATGAAGTGCTTGGTGTGGACAAGAGAAGTTATCAGACTTACAACATCCAATCAATTTTCCATTCAGTTTAGTTATACTCAGTCATGTATGCAGATTATGTGATTTCTTATTCATTCATTTCTTCAGCAACACATTATTAATGATATGCTTATGTCCAGAGGGATCATTTTGACCTATTTAAAGTATTCTATTGGCTGGTAATGTAATTTTGGTGAAATACTCCAACTGGTATTCAGGTGAAAGTTGCTCAGATACATTAGCTGAACTATATTTGGACAAAACTCTCAACACTGAAAAAAAAACTGAGTGAGTTTCCTGCCTGGGGGACTTACTCAGTGGATAACACATTTGGTGAACAATGGTGAGGATGGCAGTTCAAAATACAGCACCCAAATAAAATCTGGACAAGCCAGCATACATTTGAAGAACCAACCTTCGTTAAAGTAAAATAAATGAGAAAGGAAGGACTCGAACCCCCATTATTGACGATTCAGAGACAGAGTACCTGGGGCAACTGACTGTACAGACTATTTGGAGCTGGCAATCCCTGACTTCAGCAGAGACCCTGCCTCACTGAGTGAAGTAGAGAATAGCAAAGGAAGACACTCAATGCCAACTTTGGGCCTTCGTGCACATATACACTCATGCACACCCACACATATATGCAGAAAAATCATACTCACACACGAACATGAAAACCACAATGTAAAATAAAAGAACATGCTGAAGAGTGAAGGGACAGAGTAAGTCATCTTTTCTTCTTGAAGAAGGCACCTAGGTCCTAAATTATTAAATAAATGCTTTCAAAGTTGCTTTGCTTTTGACACTTAGAGGGGAGTATGAAGCTAAAATATTCCATCATTCCACAAAGTATGGCATATCAAGTTACAGTAAGACTAATCACCTCCCCATATGTTAAGGCTGGGCGAGGCAAGCCAGTATGAGGAATAAGGTCCCCCACCTGTAAAAGAGTCAGAGAAAACCCCTGTTCCCACTGTTAGGAGTTCCACATGGCTGACCAAGCTATACAACTGTATCCTGTACGTAAAGAGCCTAGGTTAGTCCCATACAGGCACCTTGGTTGTCAGTTCAATCTCTGTGAGCCCAGGTTAGTAGATTCAGTGAGTTTTCTTGTGGTGCCCTTGACTCCTCTAGCTCCTAACAATCCTTCTTCTTCTTTTGCAGGATTCTCTGAACTGTGCCTAATGTTTGGCTGCTGGAGACCTACCCTTTCCTAAGCAGATATGGAGGGGAGTTGGTTGAGGGTTTTGAAGAGAGGGGAATGTGGCAAAGGGACTAGGAGATGAGGGTCGGGGACTGCTTCTGGGATGTAAAATAAAAATTATTTTAAAAAATCCCAAATGTTCAATTTGAAAGTGGTCAGTTATCATAAAATAGCTCAGCATATACATTTAGCATTTCCCCACCATCAAGATTCTAGATATATCATAGAAGAGGAGGCAGGAAGAATGCAAGAACTGAATGAAGAATCCTTTGAGTGACTGTCATATGGCCATTATATGGTGACCCCAATCATGAGCATTACACATGCACAAGATCAAGTCAGTCCAAATCTCAGTATATAGGGCTGATGGTCTCCAGACCTGATTACATTCTGATTTTCCATTGGCAGTAGACAGTTTCAGGGAGAGGGAAAAATCAACCTTTGTTAAATATTTGGCCACTGGTAGGTTTCCCATACTCCAGTGGTTATACCCATGTACATATGGGTAGATGGAATTGAATTTAGTGGACTATCAAAAAAGGAAGACAGGCCGGGTAGTGGTGGTGCATGCCTTTAATCCCAGCACTGGGGAGGCAGAGGCAGGCAGGTCTCTGCGAATCTGGGGCTAGCCTGATCTACAGACTGAGTTACAAGATAGTCAAGGCTACACAGAGAAGCCCTGTCTTGAAAAAAAAAGGAAGATGGGAGACAGTGTTCAGATCTATGTGTGAGGAGTTGGATCCTAGAAATGGGTTATGGATATGATTACCCTTCATTGCATACATATACACAATTTTTTAAAAAATGAGAAAAGAATTAAAAAGAATACCCCAGGATTCTCAGGATTAATAATGATTAGATCATGTGATACTGACAGATTCACTATGTAAGCCCAGTGCAGGAGGTAATGAGATTTTGCTAAGATCATCATTAAAAAAGAAACATGCTGTGAAGTCACTGTGTGTATTCTTCAGTAACTTTGATGTATTTAATCTTATCCTCCCCTGACTTCCACAGCATGATGCCTGTCTTTATAACTAATACATTCACGTTTCTATTATACAGAGTTATTTTCCTGTCTCACATGTCAACGTTTTTGATAACTAGCATTTATGGAGTCTGCATTTCCCCAAATTCTTTCAAATGCTTATTGATTTCTCACTTCACTGCACACATATGAAGTGCACAAGGCAGGTGTGATCTGTGTAGGACAGCTGAGACTATCTTACTTTGGATGTAATTATATCCAGGAAGCAGCATATTTGTAACTATTCACACTATTTTGATTCTAGCTCCCCTTTCTTCCCACTCCCCATTGTTTTACTTTCAAGAATGGGACCACAGTCATCATTTCTCTATTTCTCAAAGTGATACTGCTGAACACTTTAAGAAGACAAGAGTTCCCAACATGTGTTATATGGATAAGTGAAGAATCAGAAAGTGACTAATCTAGAAACAATGTATGTTTTAACTTTTTCAGTACTATGGTTTTTGGACATGTAGAATACAAAGTTTCCAGATTGCTTTGATTTAGTTCAGTCTAGAAGTAAACTTCTTATGGCAGAAACTGCCTTACCATTGTCAAGAGAGGCACAGAAAAATAATGTAAACACATAAGTGTTTCCAGTGATAATACACAACCCTATGGACTCCACCTTCCATGTTTCTTGGATTCGTCTGTCTTCTTACCCCTGCTTCAATTATCATTCCTTCCATGTCATGCATGAACAACATACTGCAATTTTCCTTTTATTTTCCCTTTGTCATGTCATCTCAGTACCTTCTTAATCTGTGAATAATCATTTCTCAGTTGGAAGGTAGGGAGTTTCTGTTCTCTCCATAGGTATTTTACAGAGGGTTGTATTTTGGGAAACCCTGGCATTTCCTGTGTGTTTTTTTGTGTAAGCCTCCTCAGCATATTGAGTATACTCTAAATCTTCGAAGTCTCAACATTTACTTACACTGTATTAGTCCATTTACCCTTAGGATTACTTTCCTGTAGCATTCTGGGCCTTCACTGTTAGGGACTCAGAAAAGCTGGGTCCCTAAAGTTCTCTTCTTTTGTAATCTGTCACTCAAACTCACACTGATGGGAGTCAGTAGAACATTTCACATACCCTTAAGCTCTCACATGCTTTATGTAGCAACTCTGTAAGAAAGTCAGTGCTATGTATTCTAAAATAAGAGCAATAACTTATTTTATTAAATAATATAACACATGAGCAAAAAATGATGATTTAGTTTCAGTGTTTTTAGAACAAAACCCATACTTTTCTATAACATTTTATACACAAGTTAATTTCATATCTCGTATACCTGTATAATTACTTCCAACAAAATCATAGGATGGGATTGTTTGCAAAGTCGTCATAAACATTAGAAGCATTTTGAATTGCAAACACAGGTGTGGTGGCTCAAGCCTGTCATCCTGTAATTTTAGCGCACAAAAGGCTGAAGCAGAGACTTACACCAGTTTGAGACCTGCCTGGGGTAAGCAGTAAGTTCCAGGCCAGCATTGGCTAAAGTGTAATATGTTTTTTAAGAGGAGCTGGAGAGATGACTCAGCCGTTAAGAACACTTGCTGCATTTCCTAAGGACCCTAGCTCAGTTTCTGGTACCTATATAATGCAGCTCACACATGCCTGTAACTCCAGCTCCAGTTATTGGATTCCACCTCATATTTCTGAAGTTGTCACTAAATCAGCTGTCCCAGGTTTTGTTTGGGTTATCAATCTCTGAACAAGAGAATTACATATTGCAAACAGAAATAATGACGAGGGACATAGTCAGTGCTGTCTCACAGATACTTCCTTTCTGTGGTTATAATTAATGATGAATAGAAGATAGCCAGAAGAGCTAGAATACTTTCCCTACCTTTCATTTAATTAAGTTCCAAAGCCAAGTATATTCTTCTGGAAGATGTTCTTCACAGTTTTGGTGTCAGTATTTGTTGTCTCCACGCATAAGAAAAAAAACCGAGTTATAAAAATCACTTGTCTAAGGGTTTGGATTCTCACTTCTATTGCTGAGTGTCTGGTGACCTTAAGAAAAGTTACTGTTCCTTTTGTATTTGAATTTCTGCAGGTGGCAAGGATGAAGTTTTCTGAGTTTGCACAGCTTTCCTCTTTCTGTGAGTCTAGTGTTGTGTGACATGAAGGTTAAGTGATTAAGTCTGCTGAGCTCTTCCCTCACCACCCACTAAGTGACCTCAGGTGGAGTCTTGCTTTCTGCCACTGTGAGATGTTGTGATTATTATCAAAGGCCTTGGCCCCCCAGCTCTTGAAGGTTGCATGGGTATGGTTAGGAGAACCCCAGAGATCCCTGTTGTCTTTCATCAGAGAAGGAAGAAAACTTTCCTCCGCAACTTTATAATTTGCTCTCATTAGTTATAGGGCTTTGAGTAACATACAACCTCTAAAACAGTGCTGTAAATCCTCAGGGATTTGCACCGTGCAGAGTTCATCATGCCCACAAACAGTGCTTTTGTGTGGCAGGAAGCCCGAGTGGAAACTGGGACCCAGTGCTCACTGAGTTTTCTTTCTGTGACACAGATTCTGCTTTGAATACTGCTTCGAATAAAACTTTAGTGAACTTCCTTTCCCTTGGCCCCAGACAGCAACAGCCAATTTCGTTGGGCCTAAATAAGCCAGCTGTAGAAAGTCTTGCTATATCAGGTTAGCAGAATTCTCCCATCTGATCACC